GGATCAATCTCTCACCTTATCCGCCTTCATTGACTCTGGTTGTGAGAGAAACTTAATTGACTCTAACCTGGTTCAGCAACTAAACATCAAGATCACTCCTTTGAAAAGTCCTCTCAGAGTTTCAGCCCTTGATGGGAAGAGATTACCTCAAGTAATTCATCAGACTCAGCCACTCGAACTGCTGATCTCCGGTAACCACAGAGAAACAGTTTCATTTTTTGTTTTTCCATCTGCCTATTCTCCACTAGTTCTAGGATATGAGTGGCTGGAGCGTCATAACCCACACATTAATTGGGCTAAGAAACACATTGAGTCCTGGTCTGCCTCTTGCCATGTCTCATGGCTCCGCTCTGCACCTCCGTTTGTTCACTCCCCAGCCAATCATCAAGAAGCCGATCCGCCAGATTTATCCAATGTACCCCCTGACTACCATGATCTAGCACCTGTCTTCAGTAAGGTCAGTGCTTTGTCACTTCCACCTCACAGACCATACGATTGTGCCATTGACCTGTTACCTGGGGCTCCACTTCCCAGTAGTCGACTCTTTAATATGTCCAAGCCTGAAAGAGAGACTATGGAGAAGTATATTAATGAGTCTTTAGCCGCCGGTATTATTCGGCCCTCCTCATCTCCGCTTGGTGCCGGTTTTTTCTTCGTAGGCAAGAAAGATGGATCCCTGCGGCCCTGTATTGATTATAGAGGACTGAACCAAATTACCATTGAGAACAAATACCCCCTGCCTCTGCTCGCATCCGCTTTTGAACCTGTTTAAGGGGCCACCGTTTTCTCAAAATTGGATCTAAGAAATGCCTACCATCTCCTCAGAATCAGAGAAGGAGACTAATGGAAGACAGCTTTGTAGCGACAGTGGACGTGAAAAACTCTGTTTTAACAGGAAGAAACCTCCAGCAGAACCAGGCTCAGAGTGAGCGGCCATCTGCAGAGGCCGACCGGGTTGCAAATTTTAAAAGGATACCTTCTCCCACCTACTTACCCAACCAAACAGTTCTGACTTTCATCCAAAGACTTTCCTTTCAAAGTCCATTATAGAAAACCATTATTTGGCTTGATCACCTTGGGGTCTGTACTCAGTCCGTCCCAAGCTCCCATCCCACCTCCTCATTCACCATGTTTTACCATGATTCCTAGTTGAACCCGGTCTTCTCCAGTCCATTATGACCTCCTTCCAATCCCCCTCCAAAAGCATGGGATGATGATGGGCATCCTGCTGGTGTGTCGCATTGTCAGTGTTAGACCAAGAAGTTGTGGCCACCAGCTTTTCGTGAATTTGGAGGGTTACATTCCTGACCGGTCCTGACTCGTTCCATTTGGACCTCATTTTGATCTCTGACTTCGAGACTTCCTTTGCCTTCACTTCTGGTCTTCCACCGGGTGGCGTCAGTTGAGTGGGGCACTGTTAGGTCTGCTCCTTTCAGGCTGTGTGTGTTGGTTTGTGTGCTGCTCCTACCTGAACAGGTAACTGGATGCACCTTGAGCTTGTCCGGCAGCAGTCTTATAAGAGAGCGAGTTCCCTTAGGAAGATGCCAAAAGATTATTGCTCTTTGAGTAGTAAACAGGCCTACATCCCTGTAAAAAGCGTTCCTATTTTATTTTCCTGTAACTCACCATCTTCCCCTCTTCCCTGCATAACTCCTCCATGGTTTGGCCTAGGCTCCTAGCTTTTTCTTTTTCCTGCTGAACTCCAGATCCCACATGGTTTTTCTTCTATCCCTCCCTTATTATCTTCCTGTTCTCAAACCAACAAGATTAATCAGAACTGCTAAGCTCCTTGTCAAAAAAACCTGTCCACCCTCCAACGCTCTGACTGCACTGCCTCACCCACCAGCAGCACTCGCTCAGTAAGACCACAAACCTTATGTTCTCCCTTGGGATCTTATCTCCCTGTGATCAAACATAAGCCAAACCAAACCATAGAACATTCAGTTTTTTCCTTCCACCAATTTACCATCATCTACTTCAGAATGCTGAAGATGAAGTGTCTCCTCATTCCCAGTTCCAATTTCCGCTTCTTTCCTCATTAAATAATGAATCTTTTAAACATTTCTCTCTGCTTTCGGTAGTGGCTGACTTAAGAACTCATTCTTGTTCCCTACTCATCACATATTGACGCTTGGTCAAGTCCCCAGTGTGTCATATACTGACATGATGGGTATACCTCTCACATCCCTGACGAGCAGGGTTCATGACAGGCTGTGGTCATACATAATGACATCACAAGTAGCAAGTGTGCTCTGTGTTTAAGGTAGTAAACATGGATGGTAGTGCTGGAGTGCATCTAGTGATCTTTCATTTGGAGAGAAAGATTGCTCTCCCCACTATCGTCCACCATGGTTGGTTTTCTCCCTGCTCCTGGGTTGCAAGATGCAGAATAGGGACCTTTGTTGAGTATTAATTACGTCCAGGTCGGATGAATGCGACCTGGCCATTCAGACACAGATCGAATCTGAAAGATCTGATTTGTATCAAATTTAGGACTACATGGCCAAATAGCCTGGGTCGCATTGGAAAATTTCTTATTGTTTGTTGCTCAGACTGTCATTAAAAGAATAGTGACAGGTCACATATGGGCAAAAACATCAGATTTGGGTCAGTTCAGGCTGCTGTGTGAACGTAAGCTTGGATTTTCTAAATCTTGAAAGATGAAAGGCCTTTAATGGTTGATCACATTTGTAACTAATGCAGCCAGTGGCTACCTTCTGCTTCATTTCATCTGAATTCAGGATGTGGGAGGATTGGTGGCTCTTAAACAGCCTCAGAAAGTCACAGAACCACAGAGATCATTTGCTCAGAATGGCGTTCACATCTTTTTGTCTGGCTGTTGGTGAGATTACATTTTACCTTTGAAATTTTTACTTTAAAGAGTGGGCATCTTTATAAATGTATAAAAGATAACTACCAGAAATAACACATTGATAGCTGTAGAAACTAAGAATCATACGGTACTCGCAAAAATTAAACAGGGAAATTATATGAAAAGGTCATTAAAGAAAAAAACTTCTGACAGAAACTGAAGAGCTGTCAGAAGTAAGCATTTGTTTTTTTATTCTCTGGCTTTGAATCAAAATGTTTTTTAGAGCTTTTTTTTATGCTTCTGTCGATTGTAGTTTTATCATGGATATGATTTCAAAACATTATAAACTTACATCTTGGTGATACATTTGTTGTTGAAGGTTTATAGATACATGGCTATTTTGGTTTGAAGTAATAAAACATGGTATAGTTTTTGTTGGTGCTTCAATGTCATCTCTGAGATGTTGTTAAAAAATATTTGTTAGAGAAACTGTGTGACCTTGTTCTTAAAAGTTGTTTTCTCAAAAATGTTCATATTCTTCTTTTTTGTTTCATGTTGGGTGAAGTGTGATAGGACCATGGTTGACACCCAAGCCCATATACATTTAATACAGTTAAAAATGTTTTTAAATTGAAATCTTTTGTAGATTTTCATTTTATTGCAGGATCGTGAAAGGGGTTTATGAATCCATTTATTCCTAAAAGTGGAAACATCGAGACAATATCACAGATCACATTTGCAAATTTCCAGCCAACAAAATTAAATTATATTTTAGACTAAACTTGCAATACACACAGAAATAAAATTAAACTCCTACAATGACTAGAAGAGGTGCTTCTAAGGTGCTTAATCTTTTAACATTAAAGGAAAATTATTGGTGGTAATAAACTTGTTGTTTGAGAATTTTAACACATGGTTTATTCTAAAACTAAGTTTGAAATCTTCAGCGAGAAACAATCCGGGATGGTCCTGCATAAAAAGCTATTGCATGTCTGAAGACATATATTCTGCCCACTGTTTGGGCTTTAAGAGGAACTATGATGCTGTGGATCTAATCTTTTATGAAAGACCTTGAAAGTTGCTAGAAAGTTTGGACAGAAGTGGTTCACCAGGTATAAGCTCTCTTTCAATGCCCTCCCAGCTCCTAAACATAAACCGTACAGTAAACCTTTAGGCTAAGCCAAGAAGAGCAGACAGAATAAGATCCAATAACTTGCTTGCATGAGAGTACCTCAGATCTATGCAGGTCCACACACAGTGCTATTTCCTGCACAATAGATGTGCTCGATTTACATTTTGGCTTTTAGAAAAACCACAACCAGACAAAAAAAAAGAGGCATCAAATACACTGTTTTTTTTTTTTGGTTTCCTGTTTGTGCAGCTGCAACGCTGAGTATTCAGCCTGACAGACGACAGTTCTTCCGCTACGAAGCCTTCAATCTGAGCTGTGCGGTGTCAGGGGACTTCAGCGACTGGATGGTTATGAGAAATACTTCTGACGTATTTTCTCCTTGTGAAGACTGGGGCCGCCCTAACCGATCCTCCTGTATCAATCGCAGTGTTTACAAGTCAGACAGTGGGCTTTACTGGTGCCAGTCTAAACGAGGCGAATGCAGCAATGTCCTTAACATCACAATAAACAGTAAGCTGATTTTATTACAGTGTTGGTTGATAAAAGTTTTTACACTTGACAAAATGTGAGTACAGTATGAGTCAGTCACTAATGATACAATAAATGTTTTTTTATTTTATATTTAATCCTGTTCATTAAAAAAAAAGCTTTGATTTATTTCTATCATTTCAGCTGGTGTTGTGATCTTAGAGAGTCCAGCACTTCCTGTGATGAATGGAGAAAAAGTGACGCTTCGCTGCTCCTACAAAGAAAGATATGGCAATTCGACATCAAATTTCCCTGCTGCCTTCTTTAAAAATGGTGAATTTATTGGAGAGGAGCCTCAAGGAAAAATGTCCCTCGATGTGTCGATGTCCAGCAAAGCATTTTACAAGTGTAAACATCCCACCAAAGGAGAGTCACTAGAGAGCTGGCTGGAAGTAAAAGGTAACAGTCTTCTGCAGCACATTACTGGGTCATGAAAAGATTGCTTTAATTCTATACCAACATAAAGTTTGGTTTTCTGCAGATGACAAAGCAGGAATAAAAAAAAAAAAAAAAACCTTTCATGTTTGTTTTTTAAAGACAAATCAACACACCAAAAAAAATGATGTTAAGACACTAAACATGTCCCTCACCAATTCATACTTGTGCTTTACAATGGTGCAGTAGATCTGCAGAAATAAATATTTCAGCAAATACATCTGGAAGAATTTTTCCAGGTTTAGATGTTCTCTATCCAAGCACGAACCGCAACTATTTTGCAAAGATTAATAACTAAGATTTATATATGCACTTTGTCTAATCTGGTGGTCAGAGAATATCAGATTACCTAATCTAGCTTTTTTATACTTACATTTTTTTACTTTTGGATATAACAACCCTTTCCAAAAAATATAATATCATGAAAAAGTTTTGATTACCATAATTCCATTCAAAACGTAAATCCTTCATACAGTATACATGTACTACCCACAATTTACATGATTCCAAGTATTTATTTGTTTGTTTTTACATAATTTGGTCTCCCAACTCATAAAACCTGCAAAAACAGAAGAAAGAATCTGCCAAAATTTTGCAGGAAATAAATGATTTTAAACTGAGTGTCAAACACTTATCTACTAAACCCAAAGCACAGGTTTTCACAGTGTCAAGGTTGTCTTAGTTTGGTCCAATATGAGGAAGATTGCAGACATGACAACCGGCCAGACGAGCATCATAGCGAAGGAGAATGGCTGTACACAGAATGCTGTGTCCAAGCAAAGTAAATAATAGAAGTCTAGTGGAAGTGCAAAATATGGCATGAGAAGATACACAAGCAAATATGGCTGTAGGTTTCTGCGGATTATCAAACAGAAGATAAAAAAAAACTGGTAGAGATCCACAAAGAGTGAAATAAGGAGGGAGACACATTTTTAAAAACCACCATATTCAGATACATTAAGGAGATTAACTACATCTGCCAGGCTCCTTGGGTCAAGCTACTTCTAAACCCGAGCCAATATATGAGATGTGTCAACTGGGCCAAGAAGAAGAGGAACTGGACTGTTGGCCAGTATTTAGACTTTCTTTTTTTTCCCCAATGAAATGCATTTTATTTGGAAATCAAGGTCGAAGGGTTTGGAGGAAGAGGGATGAGGAACAGAACCTAAGCTGCTAGACTTGCATTGTGCAATATCCTCAGTCAATTAGGATTTGGGGTACACTGTCCAGTGGATAATGTACCACTGTTGTGGTTATCTTAACTCCAAGATATACACAACAGTGTGCCAAAATGAGTAAATGATGCTGATGAAGGTTCTCAGTCATCCAGGTCATAGTCATTCCGTAAAAATTCAATTCAATTTTTACGGAATGAGTAAATGATGATTCCTTCTATTCAGAATCTGTATGGAGATCCAGATGTCATCTTCTAGCAGAGCCTGACCCCTGCCCATATCGACAGAAAGCAACAAATCTGGTTTGATGCCGAGTGCTTGACTGGCCAAGCAACTTATCAGATCTAAACCCTATTGAGAAGCTATCGGGTACTCTCAAGAACAGAATGAACATAAGGATCAACAACAGAGAAGACCTGAGAGCAAGCATTAATTAAATCTGGACCTCCCAAACTTTCAGGCAATGCTACACACTGATTGATTCAACATGGATGTAAAATACGTAAATAAAACCATAGAAATCAATAAAACAAACCACAAATGCAAAAACAGAGAGAGAAAACAGAGTCCGGTCAGCAAGGAATTCATCATTATCTATACATAAAACTAATACGTTTGTTGTAATTTAATTAATTTAGCGTTCATCTGTAAAAAAATGTAAATAAAAATTTTTCTTGTCATCACCGAATCCGGGAGCGGCCATTTTTGCCCAAACATATGGTAAATGGCATGTACTTATATAGCGCCTTTATTCAAGTTAGGAGACTTGACCAAGGCACTTTACACTACATTCATTCACACACATACTGATAGTGGCAAGCTACATTGTAGCCACAGCTGCCCTGGGCAGCACACTGACAGAAGCAGGGCTGCCATACACTGGCGCCACCGGGCCCTCTAACCACCATCAGTAGACAATGCAGGTAAAGTGTCCTGCCCAAGGACACGACAATGATAGTCAGAGTCAGGGCTTGAACCGTCAACCCTTCGATTTCAGGGCAAACTCCTACATCCAACGCCACTGTAACACCTCACTCCTGACAGCCTCTGGCAGTGTCTTCAGGGTGCGGTAAGCCTAGCGCCATTCTCTTTGCTTTACAAGCAAACTCAATGGGAACTACCAGACACATCTGCAATCAACAACAATTATTGAAAATTTCCAGAGGACTTCACCATTTAAATTCACCAGAGCTATAGTTAAACTGACAATGCCCACATGCATGGCAGTTAGAGATTGGAATACATCGGGTCAAAATAAAAAACAAAAAAAGAGTTATTTTACCTTTGCGATTCCTGATCCTCTACCGACGGGTTGGTCGTTGGATCGCCAACTTGAAGAGGGAGGATTTGCCATCGAACTTCTGGCCAGAGAAAAAACAAGTAATATGTAGCCAACATTTGGAAGAAGAATGTTTTCAAGATGACTTGGATAATAGCGCGTTGTGACAAACACCAGATACAGCACTGGGACTTGATCAACAGCCGATACCGCACCGTGACGTCACAAACCAGTAGGTGGCAGTAGTGTTCTTTGACAAACATGGATCCCTCCAGTAAAACACATTCAAATGAAAATTACTCCTAATTAAAACACTTATCATTTATTGGACAGTGTGTAATAATTTCATTTTTTAAAGTACTTTCAGAAGATTGAATTCTGAGTATGACCAGATTTTTTCTTTTAAAAGCCAGACTTACACTTAGACTTAGACAAACTTTATTTTCATCTTGTACATACACAGAGTGTATACAAAAAGGAAATTTAGATGCATTGAGCTTTTCAACAGTGAATGAGCAGCAGCATTTATAAAGTGCAGCATTGATCAGAATGTAAACATTGTAGGAGAAAAGGAAAACCAGTTTAAAGTCATGCTGCAAAAGGCATTCATATGGGGAGGTTCAGTGCAGTGCAAATAAATAAATATGGCACAGAATGCAGTAGAACATTGAGCTGTGTTCTATTTAAAGGGATTATGAAAAAATCAGCCATGTTAGTAGTGCCAATATGATGTTGAGAGTGATGCAGAGTCTTGATTCGAGGGAAAAAGCTCTTGCAGAATCTGCTGGTCGTGCATTGAATGTTGCAAAGTCTCTTCCCAGAGGGCATCAGGAAGAACAGTTCATGGTGGGGGTGTGATCAGTCATTTACGATGTTACGGACTCGGGACAAAGAGTACTGTAATGAAATGTCTCTTTTGGAGGGAAGTGGAGCCCATATTATCCTCCCTGCTGTCCTCACCACTCTTCTCACATACTTCCAGTCTGAGGAGCTGCAGTTAGAAAGAAAAAGTTTTTAAGACGAGTTTTAAAAATACACAGTAAAGAGGATTGTCAAAGGAGGAGGGGGAGCTCATTCCTCAACTTTGGAAAAGCAACAGAAAAAACGTTGTCTCCTCTGAGCTGCCATTAGCACCTCGGTACCTCCAGGACCAACAGGTTTGTTTATTTGCAAACAACGAATTAATGTTTGCCGCCTCCACCTAAAGTAGAAAAATAGAAGCAGCCGGTAAAAAAGGAGACAAAGAATCCCAGATCCTAACACAAATTATTTAAAAAGTAACTGAAATTGTTTAAATTGTGGGCCCTAAATGTATATTCTATGAAAGTTTGACAGGAATTATGGATTTTAAGCAACTTTTCCATGATTTTCATTTTTTTTTTTTTTGAAAGGGTCTTTAAGTAATACTCTTTATTTAATTTAGAATATGTAAGTATATTTACGTTAATAACAGTTTAATAACAACAGCAATATAATAATAATAATTGAACTTTATTCATTTAACATTGGAGAAATTCATTCTCTGCATTTAACCCATCCCCTTGGGGAGCAGTGGGCTGCCATTGTGTGGTGCCCGGGGAGCAGTGTGGGGTTAAAGGTCTTGCTCAGAAGCCCAGAGTGCAGGCTGTGGGGATCGAACCAAGTACTTGCAACCTTCTCAAAAGCACAAGTGCACTGCTCTAACCACTAGGCAAACACTCCCCTCTTAGGGAACTTTGAATACATTCTGTTGATATATGATATGGCTGTTTTTTTTTTTTTTTTCTGAGTGACGTGAATTAAATTGTCTCTCTTATCCATTTGCTTGTAAAACCCTTGCAGAGAAACCTGAACCCTTAAAGATCGACGAACCATCTAAATCTACCGCTTCTTCTCAGATGATTAGTCTGCTCTGCACCATCATATTGTTTTTCATCTACACCATTGTCTTCATTGTGTGTATAATTATATACCGAAGGTGGGCGCGAGGTAAGCAGATGGCTACATTTAATGAATAGTCCAATTTCTTTCGATTTCTGAAGAATAATATTATAAGCTGTTCAATCAATGATATCGAAATAAATGAAATTATAATTATGGAAAAGCAAACATTATGAGATTGAAAAGAAGTCAGCTTCAGTAACTTGGAATATTGTATCTAATCATTGCAGCAGTTTTGTGGGGATGTTAAGTTTTTTTTATAGCATACCCAAACTAACTCCAATTCCATTTCATTATTTATCTTCCTATACTTAAGAACGTCTAGAATAAAAATTGAGTCTTAATTTTTTTCCTCATTCTCAAATGTTCCAGATAATGAAATCAATCTTACTGTCAGACAAATATAACCTTAGTAAATACAAAAAAAAGTTTCAATTTATGAAGAGAAAAAAGCAATAGGCCTACATAAACCCTGAGCGGAAAATAACCACCATATTATACAGAGAAACAGAGGGACCCAGTATTCAAGGTGAGGCAGTCAGTAGGAAAGCTCAAAACAATTACTAAAACAAACACAAACATAACTGAAGTGAGCTGCTGATTATCTGCAGACCTGTAGTGTCTGCAGGAGGGGGGCCGCCCAATCACTGTCACTGTAGTTAGGGAGAAACACCGGTAAGTGACCATGATAATCAGAACAGGTCACTTACCTGTGACAAAGTGGTTCAGTTTGTGTTCACCACTTGTCCCTTATTCTTTTTCTGATTTGTAATGCTTACATTTAAACATTAGTTTGCAACTTTGCTTCACTTACTATCCCGAGTTTTTTTGCGTTAGCATTATGTTGCAGTTTACATCTATTTGTATGTTTAGATTGAAGCTATTTCTTCTGGATTATTGGTTGAAATTGTTTATTTTGTTTCCAATGTATATTCATGGTATTTGTTTTCCTTTTTACTCACCCTTGTTTAAGTATTTCCTGCTAAATTAGCTAGATGATGTCATTAATTAACTTGCTGGGTTCTACCATTTAGAGGGTTTCCTTTGGAGTAATGCTTTGTTTGTTTTTATTTAAAGTAACTTTTTGAGTTATCTTGTATCACATTGTTTATTTTGCATACCCTTTCATTATGTAGATGAGTTTGTAAATTAGATTAATAATTTTATTCTTGTTTCTCTGTTTAGACTTTGTTTTTTCTGTTGTATGGTTCAATAAACCTTGAATAAAACACGGGACTACTGGAGTACGTTTCTGTGCAACTGTATTGTATAACTGACGTTCTGATACAATGCTCAGCCTTATCATACCAAGGGAGTAAGGTTCCCTCTAGTGGTCACATTTGGTATAACACATGGCAGGTCTTATTACATAAACACTGGTTAACACCACATCCCCTTACTGGAAGTTAAAAAGAAGATGATCAATCTTTTTTTAAGTTTGCTGTTAACCTGAGAACATTTGTAACCAACATATCCGTTCAACTTAAAGGATTTTCTTTCCTTTAACCTTTCAAGATAAAAGATTCATTTCATTTCAAACGTCTTATAACACCAGACATTTAGCATTCAGCCACATAACTGGCATAACATAAACAGTGTTTTAAACCAAACACAATCATCATTTTCATTCATTTTCTATTTTCTTTCACCTGGAAATAGTTTTCTTGTTTTTTCTTTTTTTTTTGTAACAGGTAAGTGTTTCTCTCTTTTTTTTTTTTTTAGATGTTTCTTTCTTTTTTTTTGATTGTCATATACAGGTAAGCATTTCACATTCTCTTTTCCATTTCACAGGTAAGTATATTTCACATTTTACAGTTAAGCATTTCACCTTTAAATCACGCTTATTATTTTCACAGGTCAAGTCTGTCCAGTCTCTTTATTTCCCTGCCAGACCTGGTTCTTGTGATATGAGGTGAGCTCACAGTCGGTCTGACTGCTGAAGGAGTCTCTTCACCTCTGTCCACCTTGAGTGGCTGCTGCTCGCACTCTGACCTCTGCTCTGGCATAGGAATCAGGTGAGAACGGTTCCGCCGCAGTGTCCCCTGTGATCCAGCGATCAGGTAAGATCGTGGGGTGCCGTGTGCGGATGTTACCGTACCTGGCTCAGCTGTGTCTGTGATCCAGACGTCGTCACCTGGTGACAG